TGTGGTGTGACAGGACATTATGCAAGGTTGTGGGGACCAGGGTGGGAAACTATTGACCTCATGGGCATAAAGGACAAACATGATAGTTTAACAGAAGGACATCTTAGAGTTAAGAAGACATTGAGTCACCTACAGCAGATATTTTACTGGATAGGTATGAGGCAAGATGTGGAAGAATGGTGCAGGACCTGCAATACATGTTGTGCTAAAAGGGGACCCAAGCATAAGGGACATGCTCCAATGAAGTTATATCAAGTTGGCACACCAATGAAAGGAGTAGCCATTGACATTGCTAGTCCTTTGCCCCAAACTCGTGCTGGAAACAAATACATTTGTGTGGTGATGGATTATTTCACCAAGTGGCCTGAGGCATATGTAATACCAATTCAGGAAGCTACAACTGTAGCATCGGCTATTAATGTTTTCTTCTTCATGTTTGGTATGCCATACGAACTGCATTCAGATCAAGGCCGTAACTTTGAATCAGCTGTGTTCCATGAATGCTGCAAGTTGTTTGACATACGAAAGACCAGGAGAACGCCACTTCACACACAGTCTGATGGGATGGTAGAAAAGTACAATTGGACACTGGGACAGGAATTTGCAAAGTTTTTAATAGTCGCCAAGATGACTGGGATGTCTTACTCCTTCCACTGTTGATAGCCTATAGAACAGTATAGCATGAAGTCACTGAATACACTCCAGCAAAGTTGATGTTTGGTCGGGAACTTCGGTTGCCAGTGGATCTGTTAACAGGACGCCCACCCTACGAAAAGTTGCCTGAAAATGGGCCAGAGTTCGTGAAAGTGTTATCTGAAACGATGGATGATATTCATCATCAAGTGCATTCAAACTTAAAAACGTCTACTGATTCCATGAAGCTATGTTATGATAAGAAATCTACTGAAGTCAGCTTTGTACCAGGAGACAAGGTGTGGTTGTATAATCTCAGGAAGACCAAAGGGAAGTCTCCTAAGTTGTCTTCTCCATGGGAAGGCCCATATGACATAGTGGATCGTCTCTCTGACGTGACTTTTCAAATAAAATGTGGTTCGCGAGGTAAGCCAAAAGTGGTGCATGCCAACAGGCTTTGGCGTTATCATGGTACAGGATATTTCAGTTGGAACAAAATGAACAACAGAACAAATGATGCTGCTGAAGACGTGTCACCTGAAAAAAGCCACTGTTGAAAAAGAAACTCTACCCAGTTTTGAAAGGGAAAACAGAGAAGCCGTTAATGAAGTTACT